CCCAGCCATTCCATTACCAGGTATTACCAGGTATATATCCTAAAGAAGTGAGAGTCATGACAAGAACAGATATATGTACACCCATGTTCATCGCAGCACTATTTACAACAGCCAAAAGATGGAAACAACCTAGGTGTCCATCAACTGAGGAATGGATAACCAAACTATGGTACCTACACACAATGGAATACTATGCAACACTAAAGAATAATGTAGAATCCACATAACGTGGATGAACTTGGAGGACATTATGCTGAGGGAAGTAAGTCAATCACAAAACGACAAATATTGTATTAGTCCGTTATTGTAAAAGTTAAGGAAAGGTTTATCTATAGAAGGAAATTTTCTTTGTTGGTTACCAGGGGTGGGAGGGGAGGGGAGGGAAGGCTGTTAGATAGGTAAGAGATAAGTATTGGTTTGGGTGAAGAGAAGGGCAACGTACCAAATGTGAGTGACCAATATGGCACCACTGAGGATGAGAAAGATATAGAGAGGTACATGGGAGGTACAGACAACAAATATGAACACTTTTGCACATACAACACAGTTGTATTGTTATTGGTTAAGTTAAAAAAGAAAGAAACCCACAGCCATTAAGTTGATTCAGGCTCACAGTGACCCCCACTGGGCTTCCAATATGGTAAATCTTTACAGAAGTAGATTGCCCCCATCTTCCTTCCATGGAGCGGCTGGTAGATTTAAACTGCCAACCTTCTGGTTAGCCTTCAAATACCTTAGGTACTACGCCACCAGAGCTCCTTAGTTCTGACCAAGAAAATTATAAATATATAAAGATTATAGTAAACAAGAAAGCAATAAAATTTCAATGCTATAAAGTAATCTGGGGAAAATGCCACAGTTTCATAATCACTTCATAGGGTTCAGAATTTCTAATCAAGCTTGCATTCATATTCAGTGAAACAGACAATTTCCAATTTAGGCAAACAAGTATTATATACCAAAATCAATAAAGCTTACAAAAATTCTTATCTTCAGTTAATCATGTTATAACCATATGCTAATTAAGATTCTTTATACACATAATAGGTAAACTTGTGCAATGATAGAGTGTTAAAAAAGAACCAGTGTGTACTGACAGAATAATAATTAAAAAAAAGAACCAGTGTAGTAAACCATGTAAAATAGGTAAGTCCACAGAGACAGAGAAAGCGATTGGCAGGGGGTGGTGGGGGAGAGGTCAGAGAGACTGACTGCTTCAAGGAAGTCCTTTTGGGGTGATGGCTGCACCACACATAGAAGGCCCCACTGACTTATATGCTTTTAAATGGTTAACTTTGCATTATGTGACTATAACCTCAAAAAAAAAAAAAAAAAAACTTAAAAAATGAATCAGCATTCTAAAAATATTAGAAGCTCAAATCTCATTTTTACAAAAGGCTTTAGGCAGTGAGTTCTGTTTATGGTGATGGGAAATCTGGCAATGGTTATAAGCGATGGGTTGCAAAACATGATTAATGTAATTGGTATCATTAAACTGTGCACCTCAGAAATGTTGAATAGGCAATGCTGTTATATATATATATATATATATATATATATTTAAAATTTGAGAAAAGGGCTTTAGGAGAGTAATATTCAATAAAAAGATATTAATTTTGTTGTTGTTGTTGTTGTTAAAGAAAGTGTTGAAATCTACTTTCCTCCAAAAATGACAATGAATTTTAATACCCTTACTAGAAATACAGGTCAAAAGCGCATGTTTCCAAATTATATATTCTAAAACTTTATTCCATATTCAGTAATTGTTGGTTGCCATCAAATTGGCTTCAATTCACAGTGACCTCATGTATAACAGAATGAAACCCTGCCTGGCACTGCAACATCCTCACGATCATTGCTTTGTTTGAGTCTATCATTTTGGCCACTGTGTTAATTGGGAACTTTAAAATGCATATTCTCATAAGCACATTGTGATAAACAGGGATTAAGTTACTATGTCAGTCAACAAAAGCCTATATTTAGTCCATATTATAGCCATATGTGAAGAAGTATATGATTAATTTTTAAAATATATATATCCTGCCTATTTTCAAACAAGATTTGAAGCAACTATGAAGAATAACAATAATGTATTTGAAAATTGGCAAAGAAAAAATAAATAGCATGTTTACAATCCATTAATGGATGTATTTGAAAATTGGCAAAGAAAAAATAAATAGCATGTTTACAATCCATTAATGGATGTATTTGAAAATTGGCAAAGAAAAAATAAATAGCATGTTTACAATCCATTCATGGATTGAATTAATAAAATTTAATTTAATTTACAATTAATATAATCTAGTTTTATTAGAAGAGATTGAAGAGAGAGATGGGCCATTTGCAGAGATTTTTAAGGTTTTTAAGAGAGCTAACACTTATCACATACTAGATTTTACATCACAAAGAAAGGGGGGAAAAATATGGTCTAGTCTTAACTGGGTAAGAGAGGCAAGACTGGGTGGAAGGCTGGCAAGCGTAAAATAGGAGAACACAGAAGGCAAGGAATCAGAGGCGAGAGGGAGGAAAAGAGTCAAAGAAGGCAAAACTACCGCAGGGGAGGGGCAGGACAGGATGGAAAAGGAACTCAAGGGACAAAAAAATTTAGTTGTATATCTATGTGAAAACAAAACAGAATGGACTCAAGTAGAATTAACAGAGCTGTTCGTTTCTTTACCTTGTGGTAAAACAAAATAAATAAGTAATGAAACTGAGAAGAAACAGTTCCCTATGCTGGCCATCAGAGGGTACTGTGAGTCTTGGATGATCTAGTTACTGTCAAACTCTAGAAAACAGGGAAATGGGGTGTGTGTGTGTAATAATTTGCAACCAGACCTTCGTATGCACATATGGAACAAATTTAAGAATTTACAAATTCATGTGTCTAGGATTACCTGGGAGCTCTGGTGGCATAATGCCTAAGGAACTTGACTACTAACCAGAAGGCTGGCGGTTCAAATCCACCAGCCACTCCTCAGAAGGAAGGCCGGGCAACCTACTTATGCAGTGATACTGCTTCAGAAATCCAGGAGGGGTTGCTATGAGTCAGATCTGATTCAACAGCAGTGGTTTTTGTTTTTGGTTTTGGTTTTTTAGGATTACCTAGAAAGTCTTTTTACCAAAATACAAATAATTTATAAAAGCTCTTTCTAAAAATTGTATATTACCCTATATTTTCGAAAAGAAGGGTTCTGTGTTTTCTGGACTGACATATTGAAAATATTAAAAGATAAGAAATAGAAACAAGTAATTCCTGCCCTGTTGTTGTTGTTATGTGCCCTTGAGTCAGACCTGACTCATAGTGACCCCTTCCTTGGGTTTCCAGGGCAGTATCACTACAGAAGTAGATTGCCCAACCTTCCTTCCGAGGAGTGGCTGGTGGGTTTGAACCATCAGCCTTCTGGTCAGCAGTCAAGTGCCTTAGGCACTATGCTATCAGAGCTCCTTTCCTGTCCTGTAGGGAATTTAAAACCACAGGAGGGAGACCAGGAGTTTGTGAAATAACCTGCACACTATTCAATGCAATAAATAATCTAGAAGTTCAGAAATAAAGAATGATGAGATTATTATGCTGGAATTAGTCTGGCAATGCTTCCTTTAAGAGTCAGTCTTGAAAGAGATGTAGGATTTAATTTTATGTGTAGAAAAGTCAAAGTCCATTCAAGGTAGGAGGAGCTGCCTGAGCAACATCAGAAGGAAACGTGTACAACAAGTGAGATAAAATCATACAAGATCTTATTAAGGGAGGGAAGAGAAAGAGAAAAGTAAAACAGCATGTGTAGATGAAAATCTTTGCCTCTGAGTAGGAAATGTGAAGCATCCTGATAAATAGAGTCTATCACAGTTTCGGAAAATAACAATGAAAGTTTGTCTTTTCTAAAGCTTTAATAAGTTATACATATTCATTCAAAAAATATTCATTGAACAGAGTATGTATCAGGGACATTCTTATTTCTGCTTATTTTTTGGTCTACTAGAGAAGATCGATATTAATAGAGAGTTGGAGATTTCTACAAGATAAAAGTACGGAAAAGAAATACTCTATTGTTTATGATCAAATAATGCTAGGAAGAATATTACTGGGAAACTTAATCTAATTAAAAGATTAAAGTCCTCTAAGGAAGCAAAGTTTGAACTAAGCCCTAGTGAATGAATGGAAGCTAGCCAGGTGAAGGAGAGGAAGTGTTCCAGTGGACAGAGAAAATGTGCAAGGACCATGAGATGAAAAGCAGAACTCCTTTGAGGAACTAAAAGAAGGGTAGCATAGTTAAAGGAAAAAAAGATAAGTGTAGCATGCAATGAGGCTGGAGAGGCAGTCAGGAGCCACAGCACTGTAGTCTTGTAGTCCACATTGTAAGTTTTGGTCTTCATTCTAAAAGAAAAGGGAAGCCATCAAAGGCTTTTAAATGGAAATAGCAAGATCAGCAACTTCCAGGAAAGACTGGGAGGGACTTCAAATACAAAGATCAAGTAAATTTTCATTAAAGCTGTCTGAAGAGAAGTCACCTGGAGGTTTTTCAGCGTAAAAGAAACTTATAATTGTTTTAAAGATCTCCAACATTCATCTGGCACACACTAGGCAATGTATTTTACAGCATATGGAAAAAAATGGTGTCTAAGCTCATTAAGGAGGAAAATGCTTCTTACCTTTTGGATTGCTGGCCTGATGGAAAATGGGTAAAGTATAATTTGGTAGTATTTTCTCTGGGAAATTTTACATTTATTTTAAAAATCAAGTACAAATTCATCAGCTTACAAATATGTTATGTAAATTAATTATGGTAAGATGCCATACTTTGCATTATAAAGGGGATTTTTAAACAATAAAATCTGATTCTTCATTTAAACCTACTATAATTGTGATTTTTTAGAAAATACAAACCAATGAACTTTAATAAAAGCCAAAGAAATATTTAAATATTATGTTAGAGAAAATTAATTTAATGAAACTGATTGAAATAACTAGACTATATTATACTATATGCTTCTATTATACTAACTGTATCTTGGTGCTTTGGTGAAGAGGGAGGAGAATCATTTTCAGGAAGGCAGGGTTTTGAGGCAGTTGGAGATTCCTACAAGAAATAAGTAATGAAAACGTTACTCTATTTTATTAATTCTATTTCTCCCTCTACTCACAGTGAGAGAGTTTAATATGGGGAAGTTAAGAAAAAAATTTTCTTCATTATTTTCCTTCCACATTGAACGTGGAAACTAATATGGCACTAATTTGAAAAACAGACATTTTATAAAAAGTTTATGAAATATGGCATATTTTAGACAATTTACAGTTAAATTTAAATACTGCATGTAGAATTCTACAGTTACTCAAAAGAAATTATACATGTTGCTTTAAAACTATGATGTTGCATCAGTTTGAATCAACCATATTCACAACAGGTAAAATCTAAGCATTTGTGGATGAATGTGTAACAGTCACCACACTAACTTGCTCTTGGTATGATAATATGAATAACCAGAATTTGGTAAGGGACAATCACAGAAATTACTTGGCAACTGCCAGAAATAGAACTTTATTTTAGTCAACAGCTCTATGAGAAATTAAACTATCATTAATGTGAAACATAATTTGTAGCTAATTTTCCAATGACTAGAAACTAACAAAATAAAATATGCAAGGAAGAAACCACAGATTTAAGGATTAATCCTTTTTAAAAAAGAAATTTTATGTTTATCTCTATGAGAAAATTTTAAGTACAAAACAGTAATGTGTTTTTGAGCAATTCTTCTTTGCCAATATTAAAACATGACATATGATTTTCACTATAAATGTTTAAAGGACTATTTCATGGAAGAGAAGACTTAAAAAAACACTATTCATATACCAACAGCCTATCTCCATTTAAATTTTCTCCAGTCTCCTTAATATTCTGAATACTTTCAAGAAAATATAAAGAAACCATATGACAATGTTATTAATTTTTTAATTAAAAAAACAAAACTTATTTGAACATTCCTCTTCATATCTGTATCATTCTTCTCTTATGGAACTATAGAAGGTATAGTCCACAAATCTGGGAATTTCTTTTAAATGACAATCCAAAAAGTTTTAACTCAACATTCATTCATCTGGAAAAAAGTCTTCAGTTTTATATTCCACCCATTTATAAAACAGAAACTTTAACAATAGAAAGCAATAGAAGTTCATAGGAAAAACCCTTGAAGGGGAAAGCTTACAAATCAAACATCTAAGGCCAATACTATTAATTAAGAAAATATTGAGATCATATAAAAATATCTTTTCAGAAAGAAATAATTTACTGTCCAAATCTGTTTTTGTGGTATACCATCAAGTTAATTTCAACTCAGAGTGACCCTTCAGGACAGAGTAGAACTGCTCCACGGGGCTTCCTAGGTTGTAAATTTAAAGGGAGCAGATCGCCAGGTCTTTCTCCCATGGAGCAGCTAGTGGATTCAAACTGCCAACTTTTCAGCTAGCAGCCAAGTGCTTATCCATTGCACCACCAGGGCTCAGAACTCTGTTTATCTTTATTTTGACAGTTTCAGATACCTCCTTTTTCAATTTCTTGACCTCCAAAGGAGAGTTTAACTAATATTAAAACAATCTGAGATAAAAAGGAAAGATCTGATGATCTACAAACTAGAAAATAAGTAACAACAAAATCATGATTTATTTTTCATAGCATTTATCAGTCCTGTAGAGATAAAAAACATATCAAATGTAATAGTAATTTATGTCTAACAATAAGGAATAATTTTGCATTTATATACTTATTTATAAATATATGTGAATATATAAATGTATCTTATATCTATGACTTCATTTTCATAAAAACAATAGACAGACATAAACAGACAGATGCATCCTAACATACACACACACCCAGACATACACAAACTTACTTCCTCCAAGGTTATGTGGCAACTGAATTAGGACCTATGGCATAATAATACTTGCTAAATAGTACTAGGTTTCTTTGATTGCATTTTCAAGTTATACACACTTTGCTCCTTATCATCTATTATTCAGCTAGCTTGTTCTGGTATAGTCCCTCTTTCATAATCTCAAAGATTGCAGATATCCTTTCTTAAGAAGTGTATTCTAGGTGATGATTATAAATAGAAAAGTTTAATTTGCAAAGCAATTACCGATGAATCCATTTACAAATAGTAAAAAGGAAAAATAAAAAAGACATCATTACCAAAATAAATTTAACCTCCAGCCTCAAGATCTCACAACACCAGCATAATCAGACCCTCTCCCCAGCCTTCCAAAAAAGTAGTAAAAATTTCCTGCAAGTTATTCTAAGCAATAGATTCAAAATGAGTCTCAAGAGAGACTAAAAAGGAAAAAGGGACTAAGAAATTTTAAATCCACATCCCAAACTCACCATCCTTATTCTTTCTAATACTAAGAGCAGTGGAGCTTTTTGGCTTTTAGCCTAGAGCACTATATATGATACTGAGGAGTTTTCTATATACCCTGAATTATAATTTGGTTCCTCAGGTTAAGTGAATTTTTCTATTAAAAATCTCTACAAACCTTACCTACACAGACAGATTAAATTCAGTGCTAAACATATTTTTAAGCCTATCTTCAACTACACATCCTTTGTACATGGCCTTTATATTCAACTGCGTAATACCCTTATGAAACAGAAACAAGAAACTGGCATACATTATTGTACTGTTAGTCCATATTATAAAGATAAATTATTTATGTAACGCCACAAAAAAAATCCATCTTTTAATTCAACAAATACCAACTTCATAGTCACTTGTAAGACTAAAAAACTATACTTGTTTTGACTAATCAGTTCAGATAATCTATAAAGAGATTTAAGACTGAATGTATTCAAACTCAGAGAAATAGAACTTGGGGGAATTAATTCTGTTTTCACTAAAACACCTAAAATGCATGAAAACCATTAATTATGCTAAAAGAGAAGATTAATAGTAAAAAGGAGTCTTCAATGACAAATATCTTTTTGAAATAAGTTACTTTGTTTTAGGGTATTACTGCATTGACTTTAACATTAATATTCTACAGATTCACACTAATTTTCTACCTCATCCTCAAAACGAAGTGTCACATTATAAAGAAGTAACTCATAAGAAAGTTAAGAGTATATAGCCTTTTCATTCTGTTGTTTGCATCAAAATTTATTTCTTGTTTGAAGTAGAGAATGTAACTTCTCAGACTGATAAAAGCACTTTACGCAGACAGCCATTTGTCTTTCTTTAATTAAAGAGTATTTGGGGAAAGAGGGTATGGACTCCAGTTTTCATTGGGATGGGGAAAAAACAATTACATGTCTTAACTATGAAACCTAGAGACTGAAGAAAAACAAAAGGTAACAGAAATGTAACTTTTAAACACTGTAAGCAAAACAAAAAAAATTGTCACCTACTAGGCTCAAATGGGGGAGCTCTGGTAGCATAGTGCCTAAGGCTTAACTGCTAACCAGAAGGCTGGCAGTTCAAACTCACCAACCACTCCTCAAAAGGAAGGTTGGGCAATCTAATTCCATAGTGATACTGCCTCAGAAATCCAAGGAAGGGTTGCTATGATTCAGGTCCGACTCGATGGCACATAACAACAACAGGCTCAAATGGCAGGTCTGGTGGCATAGTGCTTAAGATATCTGACTGCTAACCAGAAGGCTGGCGATTCAAACCCACCAACCACTAGCCATTCTGTGGAGCAAGACTGGGCAATCTACTTCCATGGCAATACCACCTCGGAAACCCAAGGAGGGATCACTATGAGTCTGATCCAACTCCACGGCAGTGAGTTTAAGAGTTTGAGGCTCAAGTGCATCAATGTGTGAATCATTAATCCAGAGATAAGCCAATCCACCATACAAGACAAACAAAGAAGGCCAAAAAAACTTCAAAACCTCAAAAACAAAGCCTAAAAAACAAAAACAAAACCCAACGCCACTGAGTTGATTCCAACTTATAGTCACCCCCGTTGGTTTCTGAGGCGGTAAATCTTTACGGAAGTAGATTGTCCAGTCTTGCTCCACAGAATGGCTAGTGGGTTTGAACCACCAACCTTCTGGTTAGCAGTTAGATGCCTTAGGCACTGTGCTACCAGAGTTCCTTAACCAAAGCCTACTCCATGACAAATTGATGCTAAATATAGTAAAAGAATAATTACCAAGGTATGAAATTCTGCTAAGGGGAAAATACATGATACAGTTGTATTTCAGCATATATGTAAATCAAAAACTTCAGATGTTTTAGAAGAAATAAGGTATTTTAGTAAACAACTTACCACATTTAACAACAGAAACACACATGAAACGAGATATGAAATATTAGTGCCAATGACAATTCATTATACAATATAATTCACAAAGAACTTGCCAGAATTCTCAAAAATGTTCTGAAAATGTCCTACCTTGTCATTGGTGTCTAATACGATTGTGCTGTGTCTCCACTTTGTTAATACTATTGGTTCCTGCAGCCGCCTGTCGAGGCTCCTACTTTTAATTATCTCCCTTTGCTGCTGAGATGAAGCATTGTACTAAAGAAAATAAAACATACCTCTTAAATTACAGAAACAAAAGTGGAACCTTAACACGATAATACAAGACTTTTACAAAGTTTATCATATTACACAACTGTAAGTTTTCTGGCCTTAGTTCTCTCATCTTTCACCAGCACTGTAGCACAATTGAAAAGATCATGCATTTGGGTATTAGATACCAACTTGTTATCTTTGGCAAAATATTTCATCTCCTTCAGTCTGTGTTTCCTCAACTTTAACAGAAATATCCTCTCTTACAAAGTTGCTGTAAAGATTAAACAAAGTATAAAAAGTGCCATCTACTGTGTTGATAGTAGGCGCTCAGTATTAGCTATCGTAACTTATAAAGTGAGGTCACTAAAGGAATTGATTATTTAAAGTTCCGTCTACTTCTAAAATCTACATGAGTTCAATTTTTAGTATAGGCTTTACAAATAACACCTTTATTTACACAGTATCTTGTATTTAAGGGTTTTGTTGTTTTGTGTTTGTCACTGCTTTCATTTATAAGCCAAATATACTACTGAATGTGGTAAAACTTAAGCAAGTCTAAAGGCAGAGATGGTGTAGTTTAAGGATCAATCCTAAATATATTTGCTGTATACAAAAGATAGGCAATCACTGCCACAGAATATTAATATAAAATTAAGAACACATTATCAATAAGGTGTTAAATCACATGTTTGAAATATCATGTAGAGTACCAAAGAAAACACTTTAAAAATGTAAGGTCTTAAGTTGTTTTATAAAGGCAATTTCAATAAATTTTAAATAATAAATTACAAAAAAGAAAATTAGCCTTTTTAAGGGCTACTTTCTTCCTCCTGGAACCAGAGGATACCTAACATCTATCCCTCTCCCCTAAAAGCATGCAAATCTCAATTACCCTGATTATATTGTATTATTTGAGGGCTTTTTTTTCCCTTTTAATAGGTGTTCTGGTGGCACAGTGGTTAAATGCTTGGCTGCCAAATGAAAGGTTAGTGATTCCAGAAACCCAAGGAGGGGTCGCTATGAGTCAGGGCTGACTCGATGGCAAACAACAACAACAACAACAACCCTATCCATAGAGTTGCCCTGAGTTGTATTCGACTTTATGGCAACAAGTGTGCTATTTTTTAATATTAAAAAAATCTTCCAACATCTTTCTCTACAATATATCATTTCTTTACTCCCAAAAGGAGTCCATGCAAGCCCCTCAAATTGCTTCCCAAAGCTATTCTTCCTAGCTAAACACAGGCAATTATATATAAGAGTTTGTTTCCAATTTGTTGTTCCTTTACAAACAAAACTTATCAGAGAAGTTCACAAAGTTCTGACTAAAAACAAAGCTTAAAGGATACCAAAAAAGAAAAAAGATTCTGTGCTAGACATCTCTAAATGGAAAGAGACTAAATCATTAAACAGGGCTATATTTTCCCTTCAATATAGTCATGCTTAGTAATAATTAAAATGTGGAGTTTTATGTAAGCTTGTATATGAACTTCAATGGAAATCTAGTGTTTGACTCTTATAATTACTACAATAATTGTTTAGAAATCCTTTCTATGTGGCACCAAAAATAATGTAAAATTAAACTGGTTAGTAGTCACAATTTAAACTGTGCTTATAGTGTGTCCTTTCTAAAAACCAGATGATGTCAAGTTGATTCTGACTCATAGAGACTCATGTGTGTCAGAGAACTGTGCTCCAAAGGGCTTTCAATGGTTCATATTTCGGAAGTAAATTGCAGGCCTTTCCTCAGAGGTGACTCTGGGTGGATTCAAACCTCTAGCCTTTTAGTTAGCAGCCAATGTGTTAGCCATCTGAACCACCTAGGAACTCCTGTGTCTTTACTAACCGAGTGAATTATGACCCATGGCAATGCCATGGGTGTTGGAGTAGAATGTGCTCCACAGGGCTTTCAATGGTTGTGATGATTCACAAGTACATCACAAGCCTTTCTTCCAAGGTGCCACTGGTGGATCAGAACCACGAACCTTTCAGTGTCTAACCATTAGCACTACTCAGGAACTCCTGTTGTTTCTAGGTACCATCAAGAAGATTCTGACTCATAGTGACCCCATACTGCAGAAGAAAATTGCTCTGTAGGGCTTTCTTGGGTATAATCTTTATAGAAGCAGATCACCAACAGAGCCCCTAGATAGGTCTGAACCACCAAACTTTTAGTTAACAGCCAAGTGCTTAACTATTGTGCCACCAGGGATTCCTATCCCATCTTAATTACCACAGCAGGAACCACCTCAAAAAGACAAAATCCCCCCTCATTCTTCTCCCTATTCAAGAATACGTTAGTTCTTTGTGGACAATTTTTACCCATATAAATTTTACAATCAGGTCCACAAAAATGGGGGGAAGGGGGCAGGTGAGAGGGGCAATATTAAATGGAAATGCACTGAACTTAAAGATTAACTGGAAAATAGTTATATGAAATTAAGCTCCCAATCCAAGATCATGGTATATTGTACCATTTATTCAGATTTTTGTTTATGCCCTTCAATTCTGCTCTGAAATTTTCTTCATGAAGACCTCATAAATCTTTATTTCTTAAATTTATTTTTGCAGTGTTCCCACCTCTCCCCTCCTACCCCTGATAACCAACAAAGAAAGTTTCCTTCAAGATCTTACAAATCTTTAATAGGTGTATTCTTAAGTTAGGATTTTGTTGCTGCTGCTATTAATATAAGTAGGATCTTTTCTTCCTATCACATTTTCAAACTGACTTTTTACTAGTGAAATGGGTAGTTTTTACAACTTTTCTTTTTTTTAATCTAATATATGTGCTCTCATTATTTTTTTCATATATATTTTATTTTTGTTATCACTGTTGGGAATATACCCAGCAGAACATTCATCAATTCAACAATTCCTACATGTACAATGCAGTGACAATGTACATTCTTCAAACTGTGCAACCATTCTCTCATCCTCCTTTTTCTGAGTTGTTTCTCTTCCATTAACAGAAACTCACTGTCCCTTAAGTTTCCTATCTAAACTTTCGAGTTACTGCTGCCAATTTGGTTCTATGCAGATAAACAAACCAAACACACTGCTGCCAAGTCGACCCAACTCACAGTGACCCCTCCTTGGGATTCTGAGGCGGTATCACTATGGAAGTAGATTGCCCAACCTTTGTTCCAAGGAATGGCTGGTGCGTTTGAACTGCCAGCCTTCTGGTTAGCAGTCATATGCCTTAGGCACTCTTTAAAAAAAGCACAATGTTCAAGGCAGGTATTCTTTACTAGTTAAGTTAAACTATTGTTTACGATCAGTCTTAAGTCTGTAATTCTCTTCAGTTTTCTAAAGAAATAAAAGAACAGTATCTCTTCCTTTTCAATTGTGTTATTTCTTTTTCTTGTCTTACATTGATGTTGAAGGAAAGCAGTGATAAAAAAAATTTCTAACTCTGTTGGACAAGATTCATTACTCACAATATGAAATATGAGACTTACTGCAGATTGATAGATAACCTTTATCAGGTCACAACAAATCAAATCTAAACCTAATAAAAAAAAAAAAACCAAACAAACCACTGGCGTCAAGTCGGATCCGACTCATAGTGACCCCTCCTTGAGTTTCCGAGGTGGTATCACTACCGAAGTAGATTGCCCAACCTTCCTTCTGAGGAGTGGCTGGTGGCCAGCCTTCTGGTTAGCAGTCAAATGCCTTAGGTATTAAGCCACCAGAGCTCCTAATCTAAACCTAGTACACTAAAATTTTTCAAAATGAAAGGAAAGTGATATGAATTTAATGATTTTTTTTGGCATCTATTAAGATGAGCACATGGCTTCTTTCTCTTTAATTTTATCAATATGGCACAGCTCTACATTAGTTAAGGTGTAAGCTAATCAGCTGTAACAGAGACAGATAAGTACAGTGGTTTAAACAGAGAGAAACTGGATTTCCCCCATGTAACAGCACAGAAAACGGCAAGCAGGCAAGGATGCATAGGTGGCTCCATTCCAGAGGTCATTCAAGGATACAGATTTCTTCTTATTTTTCAGCCAAGGTGTTGTTCTCATTCACATGATTAAAGCTAGCTCACGGCATCATGTCTATGTTAATGGCCAAAAAAAGAAGGGAGGAAAAGAAGGAAGTGGACAATCTGCATTAGCCTGGCTTTCCAGGTCATATATCACTCTGTTCAAATCACACTGAGCTGGGAAATCTAGTCTCAAATGGAAAGCCATGTACCCAGCTAAAACTCACAGAACCCTACTATTAAAAAGAAAGGGAGAACAGATATTAAGGAATGATAGGGGTCTCTATAAAAATTATATTAAGAGATTTTCTAATTTGAAAACATTCCTGCTATAAATCCTCCTTGATTAAATTCAATTTGCCAATATTTTATTCATGAGTTTTAAATCTGTGTTCATAAGTGAATCTGATGTATAGTTTTCCCCTTTTCTATTGACTACATATGGTTGATTCTATAGTTATATTAATCAAAAAAAAAAAAAAAAACCAAGTTGGGTATGGTAGCTTTTTCTCCTCCTATTCTTATATAAAATAAAAATTACCAGTTCCTTGAAGGTTTTGGAAATTCACAAATAAAAGTTTTTGAAGCTGTTATCTTTGGAGGCATAATATTTTTATTATTAATTGTATTATTAATTCTATTTCTTTACTGATCATTAATTTACTGAGGATTTGTAGTATCTTTGCAACAATTTTCATATTTTGTGTTTTTTTCTAAGTTAACTATTACTTCTATGTTCAAAATTTTAGTGGCGTAAATTATCCATACTATTCCTCTAAGACTTTTTTTAAAAAAAAATTATGTTAATTTTAGACTCAGAGAAATAGCAAAATTGTACAGTATATTCTCATCAAGCTGTGGTTTACACAGTTTCCATCTATTTTATATACAATGTTATCAAGCCAGGAAATTGACCTTGATACAATTCTAGTAGAGAAACTACAGACATAATACACTTTCAACAGTTTTCACGCACACTTCTCTTTTTCTGGTATATAGTTATATAAAATTTTAT